CTGGGTCAAACTCAGATCTGATCTCTACTGTAAGTAGATGTCACAGCTATTGGAAGCACATGTCTGCTTGGCTCTTTCTAAGATCCTAGCAACCACTGTAATTTAACACCTTATCTAATCAATTGTTGATGTTTTTAAAAACTGAGATTTTAATGGTATTATTTCACTTTTACTTGTTTGTCAGAATTTTTTAATAAAGAAATACTTCCTCTCATTGACTGTCTGATTACCCCTGGTAGAGTTAATAAGAAATGTAGGATAACTGCTTAATTTCTCCCTTTATTAACCAGTTTTCAATTTAATTCCTATAATCCTCTGAAAGTAGACAATTCTTTTAAAATATCACCATGCACCCATAGATGTAAATAAGTTTTATCTATTTCATCCACTCTAGTTATGAATATTATTGAAATTGAAATGGTCTCATTTTGGTTAGCAGAAGACTAGCAAAGTTGGCCCTTGAATAATTTTGATTGACTCCACTAGCCTTTGACAGCTAACTTTCTAATTGATAATAACAAGATTTGCCAGGCTCAGCTTGTACATCTCCTGTCTCAGTCCTCAGCAATGTCTCCACTAAACCTAGGTCGCTTTTAGTGAGAAGTGACATTTTAAGATCACAATCTGAGTCCCTTTACTAAAGCACTAGTCATTGTATCTAGGTCTTTACACTATAAAGAGGTAGGAACTATTTATAGGTAGGAAAAATATATAACCCAACTCCATGCAACGTAAAGGACTAGAAAGAATAACCAACCGAGTAACAACTTCCTAAACTTACACTGATAAAATCAGACTTCAAGACTAAGGAGATTTTAATTAAATTCTTCCTATAGCATCTGTGTGTCCCTTATTCTGCAGTAAAAATTCTTCTTCTCAAGGACACAAAGAATGGTAAATAAAAACATCAACTAATTATTCATTTTTAAAAGTAGTCTCAGAATGATAATACCAATATTACCATCATCATAATTATTGAAATTAGATAAGCAAAAGCTAAGCTTTCTTAGCCTTAGTTTCTAACAATAAAAGAAAACTAATTTTCATGTGAAAATAAACAAAGAAATGTATGAAGCTACTTGTGAAGTTATACTAAGAAAAGATGAGAACAAGGAACATAATCATATAAATGCACATATTCACAAAAGATGAGTCAGAAACTAAGCCTCATTTTAGTGGGTCTTAATTTCTCCTTATGCCAAGGAAAAGAAGACAAAGATTCTATCAATTTTCTATATTGAAGTTATAAAACAGCAATATTAGACTGGAAAATAAATGAGAGTATAACTGTTAGTAAAGGGTCATTGAAAGTAATATTTATAAAGAATCTGTTTATTGAGAGACTCAAGAAAACTAATTGAAGAACTGTAAGTAATTCTATAAGCAATAATAGCAATAAAGGAATTTAGTAATGTAACAAGATATATGGGCTTCTCTGGTGACTCAGTGGTAAAGAATCTGTCTGCCAGTGCAGAAGACATGGGTTCAAACCCTGGGTCAGGAAGATCCCCTGGAGAAGGAAATGGCAACCCACTCCAGTATTCTTGCCTGGGAAATCTCATGGACAGAAGAGCCTGGGGGGCTACAGTCCATGGGGTTCCAAAGAGTCAGACACAACTTAGCAACTAAACAACAAGAAACAGACATACGTTTATCACAAAGATGGCCTTAATCATGATAGATTAACTGATATAACATATGTCTTACCATAAACAACTTGAAGACTGGAAAAATATATAATACAACTGTTTTCAAACACTGACAATAGGCAACATAGATATGTGATTTTTAACAGAAAACAGATGAAGTGGACCACACCACTTCAACTGCCTTCTTTAAAGATTTCAGTGCAGGGAAAAAATGTAAGTCTCATTTAGAGACCAAGTTTACAGGGGTATTCCTTAAATAGAGCAAAAAGTACTATTTTTGAATTGAGGAAATAGTGATCTACATACATTCAGTGAGAGAAAGAGAGGTGAAATTTGCAAGACAAAGTATTAGAAAGATCTCAAGAAGTTTGTAGGAGTGTACCTTTGATCCTGGCTGAACACCAAGCAGCTTCCATGCAGGATAAAACACCATGGGTATTGACAAAGGATACCAATCATAAGATATAAGTTAATTTTCAGAGCTCACACAGGGCTAAGGGACATTCGAGTACTTAACATCCAGAGTAGAAAAGCTTTAATGAACACCCTGAGAATTCATTTGAAACTTAAGAATCCTTGTATCTTAGTAATTAAGGCTATTCTAGGCTTGCCATAACAAAGTTTAAATAAAAGTCTTTAAGGACAAACTTGATACTGAGGTAACTGCCAGACCAACACCAACTCTAACATCATTAAATAAAGACTAACAAAGTCCTGGTACTTATCGTAAAATTCAAAATCTTCAACATCAATAAATAGTTATTCAACATCTGAAGGAGTGGGAAAATATGCTTTTAGGAGAAAAATCAGTATAAAATCAGACCCAGAACCACAGAAACAAATTTTCAGAAAAGGACTTCAATACAGGCATATTTTAAATATGTTCAAGTACTTAGAAGAAAAAGAACATAATGAAGAGAAAAATGCAAACTGTAAAAAAATCAAATTTCTTGAACTGAAATTTTAAACATTACTGAATAAACCTAACAACAGATTAGGCACTGAGGAAGAAAAGACTGGTGAAAATTTCTATCAAGACCTAGCAATGAAAAAAATATCTGAGGAACAGAAAGAAATGAGGCTGAAAAAACGGAATAGTTCCTAAGTGACCAGGTGGACAATGTCAAGAGGTCAAGCACAGCTGCAATTGGGGTTTCTGAAAGTGGAAGATAGAAAAAAAGGAGAATTGATGCCTAAAAGTTTCTAGTTTTGATGAAAAGTATAAACCCATACATCCAAGAAGCTAAATTCATCCCAAATAGAATGAATGAACATCTTTCACATCTTATTCAAATTTTTGAAAATCAGAGACTAAAAAAAAAAAAAAAAAAAAAAATCTGGAAAGTAGTCAAAGAGAAAAAAGACACAGAGAGTAACAAACGTGATACAAATTACCACTGACTTCTCATCAGGGATAATGGATACCAGGGGACAAAAATGCAACATCTTAAAAGTGCTGAAATTTAACGAAATTAAAAAGAAAATCAACAGTCAACCTAGGACTCTACCTTTTGAAAATACTCTTCAAGCTAAAGGATAACTGCACCCCCAAAGAATGATTATCAGCTCAGGGCGTCATGTAGCATCCACCCTTCTTTTCTTCTGCTTCCACCTGTCTGTATACACACAGAGGAAGTCCATACATCTCCCAATTCTCTTTGGATATTTGAACAGGACTTTGATGTAATTAACTTGTGTCTTTTTTTTTTACAATCTCTGCCTCCATGGTTCTATCAGCCCATGAAGAGCACATCTGACACACAACTTCAGCAAATCTTATGAAAATAGTAAATTCCTGTCTCTCACTCCTCTGGATATAGTAATTCAAATACAGTCTTAGGGACTAGAAGATCTCTTTGCTCATCTGCCCTTGACCTCATTCACCTAGAGAACAGAAGACTTCATGATGACAGTGTACCTGCATTATCAACATCTGTTTCCAGCTAGACTTGCCATATAAAATTCTCTCATGTGTAATATTTTAACACTCAATTTTCAGTCAACATGAACTTAAAAGTATGTTCAAAGTAAAAGTTATAGAATCAGGAGCATATATATAAATATATACTAAAAACTCTTTAATTTCAATTCTGCAAATGTTTTTAGTTCCTAGTTGGTATCCCTAAGAGGAATCCCTGTGAATCCCTAAGAATAATCCCTAAGAATAACTATTTTCTTAAAATCAGTCACTCAAAAGCTTGGAAATAAATTTTCTTTTAGATTTACTAACTTTTTTTAATATGTAGAATTTTAGAGGAATTAAAGCATTCACAACTGCAGATCAAAGATTTGGAAAGACTAACGCACAAGCTACTGGAGATCAAAGGCTCTGATAATTCCAGATCTCCTCTTCTACTAACCTCTGGGACTTTATAAGAATAAATCATTTACTATATTACATCCCTGTTTTGGGTTTTTTTTTTTTAATGGGAGTTATGGTCTACATTAGCATTTTTTAGGTATTTGGGATTCATAAAACAAAAGAAAATGTAGGCTGAGCAAACATACAGTTGCCATTTCTTTTTTAGTAAGAACATAAACAATCATACACACTGCCATCTCTAGTTAAAATATTTAATTAAAGACATTTTAACAATAAAAAAGGGAAAATTCAAAATAGTGCTTCACATTAAAAATATATATAGTTCAAGAAAAAATTGCATATTATCTTTTTTTCCCATTTTCATCATGGACTGGTAAAAATTTTATGAACGTCTAAAATCATTCCATGGACCTGTTTTAAAAATCATTGAATTAAATGCTTCTTAACTGCCCTCTTCTACTATGAAACTCTATTATTTATATTCTTATTTTGATACATTATGTTAAGTAAATGTGATTAATATTACATGAAATGTCATTAAATGTCATTTACCTAATTCAATGTAATTAAATAAGGAAAAATACTTTTTTAAGAACAAGGGAAATATCTCCTAATGATTAGTGCAGGACTTTGCCCCGATACATTTTAACGCATACTACACACATTAAAGTCCTTTTCAAAAAGTTCCTGTGGGAAATGACAGTGTCATTTGAGTCTATTAAAGCATCATCTGGTTGCACAAACTAGAAAGAGAAGTGGCACTGTGGTAATACTCGTCTTTATCTTGGAGACCAAGAGGCCTTTTGCAAATTTGTAGTATCATTTCCCTAAACAACTCTGGACTGAATTGTACTTTAGTTCCTCAGTTCTATAGTTTTGCAGAGGCAGAAACATAAGCTCTTGGTTTTTGTTTAACTGTTGCTGACAGAATCGATATAACTTTTTACTCCACCATGTATAACGAGGGAGTAGCATTAACAAGTGAAAGATGTAATAAATTAGACATCTCTTCATTTTAGAGAGAGAAGATGGAAACATCATTGGTTTTCTTTTCTCAATTAAGTATGTGCGAACCAAAAGAAAAAACTATTTTCAAGTTAATACACGGTTCAGGAAAAGAAGAAACAAGCAAAGAAGCCAAAATCAGGTAAAACCATAATTTTTAAAATCAGCGTTTTACTTTTAAAAACATGATTAACATTGAATATTCGTTAGCACTTGTTTTTAAAATATCTGGTTGAAAATATATTGATTGTACTGTTACAACTGAAAAAAAGTATTTATTAGGAGTAAACAATTGTTAAATCTAAAGTGTTCTTTTTTTTAAGTCCAAAAACTTTTAACCACACAGAAGAACCAGTAATAATACTTATTGAAATATAATCTCAAATATTTTATAGCCATGGGGGGTGGGGAGAAACAAGTATATCTCACATATGCTATCTTAATTCCTCCACAAACATAGTATTTAAATAAAACTCTCAAGAAGACTACTGTGAGTGTGTCAGGAGTGGAGGTGGGTGAGAAAGGGTGTTCATGTGATTACCAGTCACAAATCTGTTTGACAGTCAGAAAGAGAGATTTTAATTGTCATCCAAATTGTCCTGAAGCTAATGCCTTTTCATTACAGAGCTAAGGAAAAAAGAAATAGGCTAAGTCTTCTGGTGCAGAAACCTGTGTTTTATGATGATACTCCCTCCAGTAGATCTGGGCAATTGGCCAAAGAAACAAGGTGAATAACTTGTAACTATTTGTGGGGACACTTTGCTGATTCTATCATTAAAGATTTAAGAAAGAGGAAATTAGGGATTCCTATTTTATTGGAAATTATACAGTAATATAAGGAAGGTTAGAGATCTCATTTCAAAAAATACTAGAAATATTCCATAAAATTAAACTATCTTAATAGCTTGAATTAAATAATCTCGTAAAAATTTAAAGATGCTCTTTGAAAATTATATGCCTGTCAATTTTAAATGATATATTTTACTCCTTATAAACTGATGAAATACTCATTAAGAGTGTGCACAGTGTCACTGAAAAGTGCTATTCATCTCTTTCTTCAGTAGTTCGGAAAAAAAGCCCTGGGTGTAATATAAAGTAAAACACACAAAGAGATGTTTTGTCATTTTTAGCCATTTCTTTAGTTCAAAAAGAAAATGGAATAAGCTTATATACTAAGATAATACAAATTCTTCCAAATAGAAAATATAACCAATAAAAGATACAAGACAAATATATTCAACTCTCTCAATTATCAATTCTAAAACATTTATTGCATTAAACATTTCGTATTTCTTACACCTTTAAAGCTTCATTAGTCAAACTTCCTGTATCTGCTTTTTTAAAAAAATTGCTGCATATTGTGGTAAAAGTTTCAAGGAAATTGCAGTTTAAAAAAAAAGTTTGACTAAAAGATACTGTCAGTTTAGGTTCTTCTATGTGCTGAATTAAGAAAGATAACTGACCTGGTTTCTTTTTCTTTGTTTTTAACTGAGGATATGATTAGTTTTTCTGTTATAAAATAAAATGATTCAAGAGAGGATAATGTTATTTTAACACATCATCTGATAGACAAAATCCAAAAGAAGTTTGACTAATATTTTTGATCTTTATATAATAATCAAAGGAGAAATCCTGTGAAATACGACCAAAAAGAGCAGTATGATAACATATGTTGAGGCAGATATATAAATAGACTTCCTGCATGTTCCAGTATAAAACATTTTGTTTCTCAAACAGAGTCTCCCCTGAAGAAGCAATAAAATGGGGTGAATCATTTGACAAACTGCTTTCGCATAAAGGTTAGTGCTATTTTTCTCAAATATTTTATTCTTTAATGGAAAAGTATATGAAATTTGTATGTAACTGTACAAAAATAGGCTGTCATAAAAATTTAGCCTGATTGAAAATTTACAGCAATCTGAGTTTCTGATCTACAAAAATAACTAAATAATAGACTAGTTAACAAATAAACAGTATTTTTGTTTAAAAATAAAGAGTATTTTTCAAATATTTTTATGCTATTAAAAACTACTTTTTGTGGATGAAATGTTTATTAATGCTGGATGAATAGTTTCATCCAGTTTCATCCACTGGATGAATAAAAATTTTCAATATTTATAATTTGTGAATGAGAAATTTGGTTTTATCAAATCCTAGATTATCTATGTTATTTTTATTGTTAAGTGAACAAAAAATATAAAGTAGTCCTCTTGATGGACATTTTAGAAACCTTCATGAGAAGAGATGTTGTTTTGCTTTTATAAATATTCACTGGTTGAATCAGTCATCAGAATTTTGCAGAGGAGCTGAGGTTCAGATGGGCATTTAAGGTAGAACTTTGTAGATGAGATGGAAAGTAAGGACAAATACTGAGTTTGTTCAAGCAAGGGTTAAGAACAGGCTGCCAGAATTGCTAGTTTTTAAGAGTCAACTTTCATAAGTCAGCAGGTGAGTAAGCAATTTTTTTCTGGCCTTTACTCAGATTTCTTTCAGGTAAGAAAATTGACAGGTTGAGCTGAGTAGGCAATCAAGTAAAAAAAACCACAGGGTTCATTGTTTCCCCACACTAAATCAAGCAGAGTCTGCTTAAAAAGCAACACTTTTTAAGCAAACCTAGCCACAGGTTTCGTCTAGTCCACAACTTTTATTTGTATACCCAAGTGCTTCTATCCCTTACCTCATTCTTTGAATTAGCTCAGGCTGACTACTGTTTATAGCACTGTCCATGGTTTCTGCATTGGCGGTGTCTACTGGAAGCAGGTGCTCATATTGCTGGGTCAGTTGGGAGCTCAGTACTTGTAATTCAGCCCCAGGTACTGAGCACTGTTCACTGAAACCAACTTTTCTAGTCTGCCTTCATGTCCTGCAGTATTCTCATCCCTAACTGTTCACCCTCTATAAGGTTTTGGTGACTAGTTCATGTTCTCCTGAGTTTACTGACAGAGAATCCTATTTCTGCAGACAATCCCCGAAGACTCTCCCGCTTCCAATGAAAACAGATTCTGCCTCTGAATTGTCATATTGACTCAGAGAAAGAAAAATATAGGTAGAGAAATCAGGGCTTAGGTTTAGGCAAGAATGTCATCAGTGAAGATGGAGAGCTGTGGTAAGAAAGGAAGTTTATGCTGAAAAAAGTTCATGTGTTACTCCACCCTCATTTCACTGTAGTGCTCTATCACTCCCTATTTGGAGAAAAATAATGTGAACAGCTTTCTTCAACTACCCACTTTTCTTCATTCCCAATGTCCAATTACATCTTGACTTTTGTTAAAATTCTTGCCAAATGTATGTGGAACTTGCCTCTGGTTCTCATCTCCATGGCAACTGAGTTCAGGTATTTATCTAATTACAGCCTCTGTGAAACTTTCCTCTGTAATTCATGCCTCCCAAAACTTATTTCTTTTTTTTTAATCTCCTATTATTTCCAACACTTGGACACAACTCAGCTCTTGAGTGTCTTCATTAGTCAGGGAAGGAAAAAAGAAAGAAATGGAATTCACTTTTTTTTTTCCTAATTTGAATGTTTATTGTAAGGAAACATGACTTTTCATATGTGGATCTCCAAACCCAGCACATCACCTGGAAATATTAAGTGCTTGAGTTATAGAATGAGATCTGTTGCTAGGAAAAATGTTAGTCCCAGGTTCCTTTAGAGATCTGAGTTCTGGTTCTCTTCTGTATGGCTTCCCTTGTGACTCAGCTGGTAAAGAATCTGCCTGCAATGTGGGAGACCTGGGTTTGATCCCTAGGTTGGGAAGATCCCCTGGAGAAGGGAAAGGCTACCCACTCCAGTATTCTGGCCTGGAGAATTCCATGGAATGTATAGTCCATGGGGTCATAAAGAGTCAGACAGGACTAAGTGACTTTCACTTCACTTCTCCTCTGTAACACAATGGTTGTATAACCTTAGCTAAGCTTCCTAATCGTTTTTACATTCAGCTTCCTCAACTCTAAATGGAGATAGCAATGTCTTTAGTGCCAATATAAATAAATTTCTCTCAGCATTAAATGATATGTAAGAAGCCAATAGCTGTTTGACACTATTCAAATGTAAATGGTTTCTGTTATTATAAAAAATAATTATCATCTTTTTCTGTAATAATCTTTTTCTGTTTTGCGACCTACTCCAAGCTGTATTAACATCACTTACAGGGTTAAATTTCAGTGGGAGGAACTATTATCGCTCATGATCAAAGTGCTAATTAAATTATATTGGACTTGCAAAATATTATATTAATGGTATTCTTTTTATCAATCCCCCAAATCCAGTTTTTCTAAATTGCAAATCTTATTGTAATATTAAACTATAAAACTTATAATAGTCACCTAGAAAATCTCATGGTTGCAATGGTTAAATTCAGCTCATTTCTACTGACTTAACTGTAGGCCAGAAAGAAAAAGAAAAAAGGAAAGTTCCTATACTCATGCGCACACATACACACACATCAAAACGCTCTATCAGATTTTATAGGATTTTCCTTTAGTTAAATGTGTAATTTTCTCAAATTCTGTATGTCATAGCTATACAAAGGAAATGGAAGTGTATTAAATTTACTCAAATAGGGAGTGAAGTGGTAAGTCAAAACAAAATACAAGATAAATTTGAATATTTGACAAAAATGCCTGATCCTAAAACCAAAATAGAGTAATTATTGGCATTTTAAGGAACGGAGCCATAGAGTAGATGGTTCTTATGTTAGATTTTAGGATATTAATAGAAAATTCACTAACTGGACAAAGAGAGAAAGAGATCATCCAAGCAGAAAGCCAACACAGGAACAGGCATTAAACAGTGCAATTTATTTAGTGAACTAGAAAGAACACAATTCTTTATTGAGAAACATAATTTGAAAAAGGGTGACTGAGGATGACAGATAATAGACAGACAAGACTAAACAGAAAAAACATTGTTTTTGCTATGCTCCACGGAAACCAAAGAATCCATGGAGTATTTTGATAATTCCATGATTATATTCAAATTTCATTCCTAAAATGTAACTAAACTCTCTTAAAATTGATAAAAAGCACAAAACATAAAATCCAAGGAAATATAATCAAAATAGGGACTTTATTTAATAATAGTGAATCAGTATTTGTTTATTAATTGTAAGAAATGTACCTTACCAATATAAGATGTTAATAATAGGAGGGAATTGCAGGTGTGGTGTGAGGCAGCTGTGTCCAAGCTTCCTAAATTTTCTGTAAATGTTACCCTAAAAGCAAGTGACCATCTAAAAAAAAATGGACTCGAACAAGTTATACAGTAAATCTAACACAACACAGTCCATAAATAATTTTACTTCTGTTCCGCATGTGTTTGTATGCAGATATTAGGATAATTTTTCCCTAACTTCCCTGTTGATTGACAGATTTGTCTGAAATGGCAAAATAAATCATAAAAATATGTAATTTAAGGCTATTCATATATATCAATAATATAGTTTAAGAAAAACAAAAAGAATCAATCAAAAACCAGTATCAGACTATCTGTTGTTCATAATCATCACTTTCAAATTTAGTCATCATTCTTCTTATTTATGGACTTTATGAAAATAAATGTTACCAATATGAACTTAGCAAATCAATAAATTCCAATAAAATTGTATACATATATAAATATTACACTCACACATGTAAGTGTATTTGTATGCATATGTGTATATGGTTTTGCTTAAGACAGTTTTGAAAGTAAAACATTGCTGCTGAATAACATCACATGCAAAACAATTGGCAAAATGACAAATTTTGAAAACAAGTGTTTTTAAAAATGCCTATTTTTTAGGCATTTCATATTTCATGTAGGCTTTAGAAAATCATTAAATGGAAATTATGTAGATGTGTGCAAGATTTCAACAGGCAGAGGGAAAGGTTAGTCTTGAGTAGAGAAAAAGGCAGGAAAAAGGCCAGAGAAATAAGCGATTTGAATGTAATCTAGGAGAGTAAACAGGTCTCTTTCATTGAGGCAAAGTAGTGAACAGACAAATTAGAAAATCAAGTTGTGAACAAATTTCAGAAGAGTTTGCTGGTTAGAAGTCTGACTCTGATGGACAGAAAGGTAGAATTCTATGCATATGTTAAGGACTACATACAAGGCTGTTACAAATGTCAAAGTTAACCTCAAGGTAAGGGCTATTTTGGAAAGAAAATGGATGAATTGGATGACTGACTGAATGTGTATAGATGTTGTAAAGTGAGTTGGTGAAGAAACAGATGAATAGAAAGGATGAGCCAAAGACCCCTAGATTTTGTTCTGTATTAATAGGAACATAATCGTGCCTTTTATTTATCAGAAATGGGGGAGGGGAGATTTGGAGAAGGTAATAGGTTAGAGTTTGAACTTTAATTGCTGATAAACTTTATCAGAAGTTTTGCAGGATTTTATAGACATTCATCTAGAATACAGAAGAGTGATTGATTATAGAAAGATTTTCTAACCATCTCGTATACTTGATACTTAATATTTGAAATAGAAGTTTATTTCCTGTGAAGGGAGTCTCTATCAATTTAAAAAGAAAAAACATGCCTGTTTATTTCCTTTTTTCCAACCATTACAAATAATACCAATTTTTTTAGCCTTTTTATTAACAAGTATTGGCTTGGACTTTTTGCACCCTCAGTTGTGATTATACTAAGCTTCATTTTGAGAATAATTCATAACAAGATAAGATAAAAGTAGAATATGTAAATCATCTCACCCCCTTAATTTAAAAATATGAGCTGATTATACCGTGGAAAATATGTATCACTGACTTGGAGTAAAGGCTACAAGGAAATGCTCACTTCTCCTTTGGGCAAGGAA